GAGGAAGGGTTATCCAATTGAACAACTGGTAGCATTTCTAGTCATGCAGCAGCTGTACAAGTGTTCAAACAAAAGGGTCAGTTTCAAGTTATGTACATATATGTAAGTCATTAGATGTTTCCCTTTGTCATGCACAGTGTTTCTAAGACCTGGTGCATTCGTTTCTGAAATATACTCGGAGTCGAGAGTGGATTTCATGCTTTTTATTCAGCTCATAGTGGTGAGGAGGAATGAAAGTTCCCCCAAACTATCTGCTTTATATACATTATTTACACAATGGACTGCACGTGATTGGCTAATTCCGGAATTCTCCTGTAGGCCAATCAGGTTGTGGATTCACTTCCATCTGTAGCTGGATTGGGTGGCTCCTGCAGACCAATCATACTGCTGCATTGTTCTAGGACCAATCAGACTGCTGCATTCTGAATCCTATTGTTCTAGGGCCAATCAGACTGCTGCATTTTGGATCCTATTGTTCTAGGACCAATCAGGCTGCTGCATTTTGGATCCTATTCAACATAACAGTTTCATTTAGTTTTGATATATCTCTGCTTTAGCTAAGACTCTTCTTAAACTACGGGCATTTTTTCGCAAGCGGCATCAAAACCCAGATTTGATGTTTTCCCATTTTTTGGACTCCCAGGGAAACTCAACAAACCTGCTGCACCTGGAACAGGGTATGGAGATCGCAGGTGAACGGGACACAGCTGTGGGCAGCCAGAAGAAGGGTCATCCATCTTGTGCCTGCCCATACAAAGCAGAGTGAGAAACTAGGGTGCCATTTCCTAGAATTCTTCTCATTGTGAGACTTTCTTGGGTGAGCTGAGAGTAAATCCAGGACTGTCCCTGGAAAATAGGGACGCTTTGCAGGGTCTGTCCTCAGGGCAGGGTTTGGGCCTCCATGTCAATGAAAAGAGTGAGGCTGGCTGATCTCGGACTGCACACTCCCATCTTTGAACATGGCTCTTTTCTGCTTTCTGTATCCTCTTAACATTCAGCAGGAAAACTATAAAAAGCATCTTCCACGTCGCTCGCTGAAAACACCTTCAGAGCGGTGGAATGCTGGCGGGTGGTCTAAAAAGAGCAAGGGATCATTAGGTGGGCAGAACGTGTGAGCTTCAGTTCCCAAGTTGTGGCTGCGCCATCGCCGGATAGAACTGAAGAAGGCAGCTTTACAATATACTGCTACTAGGAGCGAAGCCACACAGCCTGAAACAGCTCAAGTACAAAAACACAGCAACTCGGCTGCTCAGTGTGACAGGCCAGCACGAACGTAACCCTTCAGAATTCTTCTCTTTTCCGCTCAGCTCAGAACACAAGAGCGCAAGCTCAAAGGTTCTGCCCTGACGTTCAAAGCTCTCCATGAGATTGGCTCTACCAATCAAAGCAACCACTTCTCACTCCCAGGAACACGGTCTCTCGTACCAGCTGCAATTCACTGGAGGGGGGGAAATGCAATAGCCTCCAAGCAGGAACACACTGCAAGGGCGAGGGGGCAACGCTGTCGAAAACAGCCAGGCTTTAAGTCGAATGCAAGGCCTTTTCAGACAAGAAATGAATGGCTTGAGCAGCCTTCCTCAGTCCGGTTGTTTTCTCTCGGAGGGTTTAGCACATCACACTCATGGCAAAACTGCCCCACAAACGTTTTTAAAAGGTAAGTGACGGGGGGACCCTCACCCCAATTTCAAAAGCCGCCTGCAAGCAGTTTGCTCATTTCTCTGGTGAGAGAGCTATCCCACCCCTGGGCAACGGCGGAGGAAGCTGCTTGGGCGCCTGGGGCAGCATGCCCAGGGGCGTGGCAAGCCGCCCATAGGGGCAGGACACACCACAGCGCCTGCCTCTTCCCACTCAGCCACCCTATAGCTGGGGGGGAGGCAGCAGGTAGACCTTTTGGGCAGCGTGGAGCCTGCGTGTGCCCAAGCCTCTGCGTCCTTCCCAGGAGAGATGCGTGGCTCGGGCGGCTGCAGGCCCCGTGGTGTGTCGTCCAGTATTTTGTCACCCCCTTCAGTGGTGACACCCGGGGCAGACCACACCCATCGCACCCCCCTTCCTCCATCCCTGCCCCTGGGCAGGGAGACAGAAATTAAATACAGTGGTACCTCAGGTTACATACGCTTCAGGTTACATACGCTTCAGGTTACAGACTCCGCTAACCCAGAAATAGTGCTTCAGGTTAAGAACTTTGCTTCAGGATGAGAACAGAAGCTCCGGCGGCGCGGCGGCAGCAGGAGGCCCCATTAGCTAAAGTGGTGCTTCAGGTTAAGAACAGTTTCAGGTTAAGTACAGACCTCCGGAACAAATTAAGTACTTAACCCGAGGTACCACTGTAAATATAATAAATTTTTATTTATACCCCGCCCTTCCCAGTTCAGAAAACCGGGCTCAGGGCGGCTAACAACAAATTTAAAACACTTAATTGATGCAACAAAAAAAAGCATAACATACAGTATAAAACGTGAATAACAATAAAGTCAGAATTCAAAAATCAATTTAGGGGGGAAATCCATCCAACAAACATTAGATGATCACCAGGGCTAGCTGGCTAAATTAGTCCTATTTGGGCCAGCGAGGAGACCAGGGGAGAATAAGCTGTGGGATGCCAGAGCGGGTAATATTCATAAAAAGGGAAGGGGGAGGGAAGGAAGGGGAATAAAAGATCAGGCTAAGTTCAAATGGAAAGCCAGGCAGAATAGCTCTGTCTTACAGGCCCTGCGGAAGGAAGGGACGGACCACTTAACATGGGCTTACTATATAAAATGTCTCAAAGAGGCTTACAGTGATAAAAGCAGGACATGATGCAAACATTTAAAATACATCAAAAACACTGACTTACGAGCATCCATCCTACAGCAGCATTCAAAATTTGCCAGGTGCATTTTGCCCTTGGGCATTGGCCGCTTGCGACCAAGTGAAGATGTCCAGCTGCCAGGATGCCCCTGACATCTCGACCATCGAGGTCCACGCCTGGGGATCCTTGGATCTTGACTTGTTTTCGCACACTAGCAATGTATCCTGTAGCATTTTGTCCGTTATGTTTTGTCTGCACAATCAGAACCCATTTCAGGAACCAAAAAGTATTGAAAAATACGACTTTTGAGCCGTCTGGCCCCCCAAATGGCAACTAGGCCTTCCGTTTTGGCAGCTGCAACCCTGGTTTAAGGAGCCATCTGGCACCTAGCTTATATACCTGAGTTTCTGACACTGTCCTGCAGTAGCATAGAAAGGACAGATCCTGCTAAAAGATGAAGCCCAATACAGGCTATGGTGTCATGGCATATAGCCCCAGCTAAGAGCTAAATGTAGCATATAGCCCCAGCTAAGAGCCAAACATCTTTGCTGAAGGGCACTGCTGGCATTTGATGGCATACACCGTGTTAGAAGATGAGCAATTAAATAGCCCTTGATGTTGTTGGGGCCAGTGATGGGTGTTGTCTGGGTGTATATGGCAGCAAAGTTGGCATCTGGGTTTATTGCAGGCTCTGGTACCAGTGTCCATGTTAAGTCTGGTTGTTGTATTATTGTGGGCGAGAAGTTGTTTAAGATTGGGTGGCTGTCTGTAGGCGATGAAAGGTCTTCCTCCCAGAGCTTGAGAAAGAGAACTGTCATTGTCTAGGAGAGGTTGTAAATGTCTGATGATGCGCTGAACTGTTTTAACTTGGGAGCTATATGTGATTACTAGTGGTATTCTGTTATTTTCTCTTTTGGGTCTGTCTTGCAGCAAGCTCTCTCTGGGTATCAGTCTGGCTTTGTTGATCTGTTGTTTAACTTCATCAGGTGGATATTTTAGTTCCAAAAAGGTTTGCTGTAGATCTCTTAGGTGAGAATCCCTTTCTGTAGAATTGGAACAGATGCGGCTGTAACATAGAGCCTGGCTATATACAATTGATTGGTAGGTTTGGGATGGTAGCTGGAAGCATGTAGATGTTTGCCGGTCAGTTGGTTTTCAGTATAAGGTGGTGTCTATGTGCCCATCCTGTATTTTTATAGTGGTGTCCAGAAAATGTATTTCTTGCATAGATTGGTTCATTGTTAGGTTGATGGCGGAGTGAAAGTCATTGAATGTCTGGTGGAAGGTGTCTAGGGTCTGCTGACCATGTGTCCAGATAATAAGAATATCGTCAATGTATTGCAGGTACAAGAGAGGTTTGAGTGGGTAGGAGTTTAGGAAGCGTTGTTCCAAATCTGCCATGAAGATGTTGGCATGCTGTGGGGCCATGCGGGTGTCCATAGCTGTGCCACTGATCTGGAGGAACAGGTCATCTCCAAATTTGAAGTGGTTGTGAGTGAGGACAAAATGGCAGAGTTCGGTAGCAAAGTCCATTGTGATTTTATCTGAAACGGTGTTCCTTATGTAGCTTGTAAACCATCATTGTATGGGATGTTGGTGTACAGGAATCCCACATCCATAGTGGCTAGTATAGTATTGTTGGGTAGATTGTTCAAAGATTGTATTTTCCTCAGAATTCTCAATGGAGGCCTTGCAGACTCCAGGTAACATGAAACTTACTGTTTTGTAATATGACACATATTCTGACATTAAACGGGAAGTCAAGTGCACCTGGAGTCTGTTTGACCTTTGTTATCAGACTGCTACTACAATGCTTTTGACTAGGAGAGTGCTATGCTTAAAATCTCAATATTTAGAAATCCCCTCAAACAGATGTTATGACCCATAACCAAACCCAGTTTTCCTTTTTTAAAAAACTTAATTGTGTGTGGAACGGTAGCAGTGGCATTTCTACCATTCACTCAGTGTTGAATGCATTCATCAGAGAACGGAACGGATTCAATCACACCATTTATGTCATTCTTCGTTCGATCCCACCTTCCCGGGGCGGCAAACGTCATGGCCTGGACCACCCCAGACCTCATAGCCCGGACTAGCAGAATCACGTCGCAAGGCAATTTTTAAGACAAAATTGCAGAACAATTTTTAAGTACATTAATGACAGGAACACGCCCCATGAAGCAAGAAAACATATTTGTGCAGCTCATTATTTGCCCATCACACTGCAAAAGGCACCGAGACAAACGGTTTCCTTTTCCATTTCGTTTTAATAGCAGGGATTTAAAATGCACACAGCACCCAAATACAAAGCAGACCATTTTCTGGCTAACAACTGTAAATATCTTAACAGTAATTTCAAATACATTTTCACATTCGTTTGTGTAAAAGAACTACAGTGAAATTACTACGGTGAGATCGTTGTCGTCAACAGCACCACAAAGATCTAGTAGCAAAGAGAGACTTGCTCAGCCCAGTAATACAAAACATTTCAGAGATTTTACTGGCACAAAAAGGTTGGAAGCGCACTTGTCTGCTGGTGTTTGTCTCAAGTACTTTTCAGCTGCCCTACCCCCTAATGAATTTCAGTATAATGGTAGATGGGTACTTGAGACAACAGTACCCTTTCTTTATATGGCAATGAATTACACTCTCCCAGAACAAAACCACTTTAAGAGAGAAATTTAGCTTTACATTTTTAAAGGGCGGGGAAATTAAACCTTTAAAAAAAGCCTTCCTGGATTTATTTTTCAATGTAAAGTTACTTGTAAAATCATATGTTTATGTCATGAAATATTTCCCTAAAGTTACTGAAGTTCATTGATTTATGTAGGCCTACTCTATGACCCGAGGCAGATCCACATGATAACTTTATAGCACATCCAATACACATTTAAAGCACATGGCTTCCCCCAAAGAATCCCGGGAACCGTAGTTTGTTAAGGATGCTGGAAATGGTAGCTCTATTGGGGGGAGCTACAGTTCCCATGAGCCTCTGGGGAAAGTGTTTTAAATGTGCGCTGAATATGCTTTAAAGGTATATTGTGGATTTGCCCCTAGTTGGCTATCATCCAGTAGAGGTTAAATCCTACAACAGGGCGATAAAGCTTCTGACCTATGAAGGCAAATACAGACCATAAACCATGTATTCTGGCCAGGCAGGTGATTTGGGGAAAAGGATGGAGACCTCCCGGAAGTTGGCCCCTTTCTATTTTTATTTCCTGCCAGGTGATTGGCAGCACCACACAGGTGTTTTGGTACCAGGCAAACATCTGAAACGTGGTCCAATGTGCAAGTTTGTGTCTACAGCTAGCTAGCATTAGATAGGCTGATATACCAAATTATATAGGGAAAACCTGTCTAGTATGCAAGATCTGTTTCAATAAATAAAAGAGTGTGTGTACTGAAGAGGGGTCTGTTCTTACCACACTTAGTCTCTGACTGATTAAGTGGAATTGTTTGAAAAATCCAAAAAGAAAATCCACAACACTTGAGTTTCTTTGTTTCATAAACCCAGCAAGGAAGAAGGAAGCTCATGCTTACAAATAATTTAATATCTAAGTGGTTCCAGTGAGTAAACATACAAAGATTTGAAAACCCTGTATGAAAATTTTGTGAAAAAAGCTACAAGATTGCTTGTGACTCAAGCCAAGTGTGAAAACTTACAAAATTGGCCCTCAAGCACTGTTATATATATATAAAATTGTTAGAATATTAAACTGGTTTAAATTTGATCACTGAAATTACTGCTTCTTTCAGTCACTGAATATATTACATTTTCACAAATATGTTCACATTTCTCAACTAGATTAAAATCATGTGTTAAAATATTGGGAGAGTAATCCCTGGTATTAAAGAATGAAAACAGCAGGACACAATTCAGCCAAAAAATCAAGCACTTTCAAGTCCTAAATGCTCATGCTTAAAGCTCACCCATCAGATTTCAAGGTGCTCAGGTCTGCTGGATCATCTCCCGAATAAGTTACAATCAACATAAATAGTCAGTTCTGACAATCACATTTCACTGGTGCCAGAAAATATTTCATCAAGCTTTTTAAAAGTTAGTATTTTGTTTTCTGAAGTAGAAAAACTATTTTAAGACCACAATAAAAATTCTTCATAAAATCACAATATAATCTCTTCTTTTATCAAGTCACATTAGATAGAAAGAAACCCAACATGATGCATCTTGTCCAAGTATGAATTCTAGCTTACAAAAAAATAAATTTTAGAGGCTACATAGAGCCATATGGCAGTAGTTGTCAATAGTGCAGAAAGTTCGTGGGCAATGTAGCCTGAGCGAGCTTCACTGAAATGGGGGTTTGCACAGGAAACTTTGCACTATGCTTCTGGAAGCCATTTGCTACGTGAATTTCCTTATACACAATTGTCCTTTCACATTATTAGGAAAAAGAAAAACATGGCGTGTTTTTATGGGCATGTACAAAGAAGCCACATTTGGCCACCCCGCATCACATTCTAAGCTTTTTATTCTGTTTTCTTGGCATGTCTTCTCTTGACACTGTCGCTCGTCTCTCCAGCTGTCGTGCGGTCGTAGTCTGAGGAGGCGCCATTGTAAGGGACTTTGGCCTCGCTGGCTTCAGGGCAAGGCGGGTGAAGACCAAAGAGGAGGCCAACCAGCACCTTCTCAAACGGGGCCAAGGGAGTGAAAGCATTATCCGTCAGCATCATGATTACCTGAAACAAGAAGCACAGCAAGGGGCATCAGCTCTCCAACAAGATTTGCAGGTGTGTGTACCTAGGGAATACCCAGGTAGAAACCACTCGCTTACTTTTGGGTGGTCCTGCTTTCCTTCCAAACAGACCATCATGTGATCACCCAAGCTCGCAATTAGAAGGAATGGTTATGGGCTATCTGATGTGCTATTCCTTGCATTTATACACGTTATATCACGAGGTCATGAGCAACAACCCATAAATAAGAATTAATCCAATTCCCCAATGATTTTTCCATTTTTAGATACAAACCAGGACCCAAGTTAAGGGAAGAATATCAAACACAATACGTATTTCTCCCTAGATCATACAAGCAAGCAAACACTACTTCTTAAAATTGCAGTTATACTTTTTAAAACTGACATTAATACTGTAATTCAATTCATATCTTCACTAGTAAATACACACACACACACATTCAGAATCACCTAGCATGCAATTCTGACATGGCTGAAGCGAAGGCAAAGTTCCTATTGATTTCACAGACATATGGTCATGGGTTCAATCCCCATATGGGCAACCTGCATATTCCTGAATTGCAGCGGGGTTGGTCTAGATGCCTCTTGGGGTCCCTTCCAACTCTACAATTCTATGGAACTAAAACTAGGTAGATATCTTCTGTACACAGAACAATTAATGTGACCATTTGCAAGTTTAAAATTGCTGCTTTACCTGGCAGGCTCAAGGTAGTTTGCATTAGTTAAAAGCAAACAAACAAATGCAGAATGATAAATAATACAACCCCAGGGTGACATCTAAGCGATGCCTACCCGCTTGCGTGGTGCGACTTTCAGGTTCTCTTCTCCCTCTTCCAGCCTCCTGCGTGCTTCCAAAATCTACCTGGGGGTCCTGTAACCCCCAAAAGCAGCTTTTGAAGGGATAGGAAAAACTAGCATGTTTCTAAATATCGTGAGCTTAAGTGAATCCTGAGTAGACCTTGCCACTGGAATCCTAAGTTGGCTAGTATGAGCACTGCAGTGGTCCTCGACATGAGAAACCACAGCCCGGGTTGGCAGAGGGTAGGAGTAGTCATGTGAACTGGTCCTTGAAATTAAGTACGTATCTCATTGGGTTTTCAAAAGTGAAGCTCCCCCAAACATTCCCAGAGGGCTCCTTTCTGTTCTTCTGGCTTTTCTAGAGGACAGATGCAGATTACAGTCATACCTTGGTTCTCGAACAAAATGTGTTCCGGGAGCCCGTTTGACTTCCAGAACTGTTCGAAAACCAAGACACGGCTTCCGCGGAAGCTGTGCTGGACGTTTGGCTTCCGAAAATCAAAAACTGGAACACTCACTTCCGGTTTGCGATCGTTTGGGAGCCGAAATGTACGAGTTCCAAGAGCGTTTGGCAACCAAGGTACGACTAATTAGTTACCACCACCATCCAAAATTTTCACCACTGATTTTTTTCCCAAATGCTTTAAACAGGAGGGGGCGGTTATCCTTCTACAGCCCAAGGGGCACATTTCCTCTTGGTCAACCATCAAAGGGTGTGGCCAAGGCAAAAGTGGATGTGGCCACCCCACACAGACCACAATGCAAGCACCGTGTGCAAGGACCGCCACACATCGCAGGCCTGTTTGCTCACCCCTGATTTACTGCCTCCCCACCCTCTCCCTCCTACTGCGAGGTGCCCTGCTGCAATCCCTCCACATGGGACTCAATACTGCCACTACCAAAGATAGCTAGGCAGGATGGAAAGCAGTGCTCCAACAGTCTTCTTGGTGCTAGTGCAGCTCTCAATCCGAGAACTGCTTTCTAGGAAGGGAAAGTAAGTGAACTGCTGGGAGAAGAGGAAGCGGAGCGGATCAGACCACACTGGATACAGAAAGAGCACTCTGATCTGCTCCAAAGTTTCCTGAGTGCCCAGGAAACACCACAGCAGATCAGAAAGCTCCTTCCTGTTTGGATCTGTCCTGGCAGTTTTGCTGATACTGCCTCTTTGGTTCACAGTGGCGCTTTCTCTCTCTCTTTCCTGAAGGCAGTTCCTACATTCATCACATGCTGCCTTTCGCCACTGCCGCTGACAAAAATTGTGGGTTCTTGAGGTCACAAACAAGCATTGGGGAAGCTGGACCAGACTCACAGGCCAGTAGTTCACCACCCCAGTTTTAACTGTTACCACACAATTTGGTATTCAAACTTCTAGTTATTGGAGAAAGAAGAGTTGATGCAGGAATGAACTTTTTAAAAAAAGAAGACTAAGATCGGGGTGCCGATTTTATGTAATTATAAAACAATTAAATCTAATATATGAAGCATTAGATGCAATACTGGAACCATCAGTACAAAAACATGCACAGGTTTCTTTAGAGTGCCTGTAAGTTACTCATGTCAGCACAACATCAAGCACCAAGAAGCCCCAAAATTCTTACCTTTGTGATTACCAAGAAGGAGGTGTAATACAGCATGAGGTTGGGCTTTGCTACTGGAAGAAAAGAGATGTGCTGCATTGTGAAGAGTACGGCCCCTATCAAGCTTATTTTCACAGGGCTGGGGGGGGAAAGACACAAAACATGTCAGGCATCATTTCTCAATCCCCTCTCCACCCTCAAAGAAGAGTTTGTAAATCTCTCAACACTGCTGTTAGTTTTCATTAATTTGTCAAGATCTCCCACCATCCCCGGCCCAGAGGCATTTGGGTTCTCCAATAGGGCTGCAAAACTTCTAATCAGTAAACGAAACAGCTGAAGCTTTAGCTGGCTGGCAGGCGAAGAGAAACGTCAATTGACTGGCTGGAAGTTAGGGGCACGGGTGTTCAATCTCCAAGGCTCTTTTGGCTTTGGTGAATGAAGAACAAGAGGAAAATATTAAAGATGACCATCCCTTCTCAGAACGTGTGGTAAACTCCCTTTATTAAGTTGTTGTTTTAACTTTTTAACTCAGTAACTTTTTTATAATCACCTGTTTAGGTGACAGCTCTTACTGTCAGGAAGTTCTTCCTAATGTTTAGGTGGAATCTTCTTTCTTGTAGTTTGGATCCATTGCTCCGTGTCCGCTTCTCTGGAGCAGCAGAAAACAACCTTTCTCCCTCCTCTATGTGACATCCTTTTATATATTTGAACATGGCTATCATATCACCCCTTAACCTCCTCTTCTCCAGGCTAAACATGCCCAGCTCCCTTAGCCGTTCCTCATAAGGCATCGTTTCCAGGCCTTTGACCATTTTGGTTGCCCTCCTCTGGACACGTTCCAGTTTGTCAGTGTCCTTCTTGAACTGTGATGCCCAGAACTGGACACAGTACTCCAGGTGAGGTCTGACCAGAGCAGAATACAGTGGCACTATTACTTCCCTTGATCTAGATGCTATACTCCTATTGATGCAGCCCAGAATTGCATTGGCTTTTTAGCTGCCGCGTCGCACTGTTGGCTCATGTCAAGTTTGTGGTCAACCAAGACTCCTAGATCCTTTTCACATGTACTGCTCTCAAGCCAGGTGTCACCCATCTTGTATTTGTGCCTCTCATTTTTTTTGCCCAAGTGCAATACTTTACATTTCTCCCTGTTAAAATTCATCTTGTTTGTTTTTGCCCAGTTCTCTAATCTGTATTTATCATTAACTCTGGAAGTGTACATTAGATTCTGACCCGACTAAGCTTCCTGGTTTCTAGAATAGACTGCAAGCAGGTGATCCAAACCTCTGGAGCAGTAACAGAAAGGCAGCTTCTGCTTCTTATGAAAGCCTGGCTTGAAAGCATGCAAGAATTTGAAATCAGGGCTTGAAAACAGCTCTTAAGCCTCAGAGAGCTTCATATGGGAGGAAGCACTTGATAAGAATCCCAAGACCCAGAATTCAAAGGTCTTTATAAGCAGATAATGCAATGTTGGATTCCACCCACAGGTTTATTTAACATGTAACACAGCTCAATGAGACTTGTTGAGCAGAAAAAGGGCAAATGATCAACCAGCCAAAAAATCCATAATCGGTTGAAAGCGCTGCAACAACACATTGGGAACTGTTTGCTAGTCTTGCTAAGAAATAGATCTGGATTTTATACAACAGAAATGAGAATTCCTCCGTTTTCTACCACGATGCACCCGTCTTTCTCAAATCTTTACCGCTTCTTCCACTTGACATTTTCTAAGAGCGCTTTGCTCAAAACACTTCACAAACATTCGTCCCGCTAATCCTTACACCATCTCTGTAAAGTAGCATGGCAACATTGCAGACAGGCATGCCAGGTTGACAAACTTACTGAATAAAAGCTTGCCCAAGTCAACCAGTGAGTTGATGGCTGGAGATTGTAAAAGAACAAGGCTCCTGCCCTCTGCAGAACATTGTTGTTTAGTCGTTTAGTCGTGTCCGACTCTTCGTGACCCCATGGACCAGAGAACGCCAGGCACTCCTGTCTTCCACTGCCTCTCGCAGTTTGGTCAGACTCATGCAGAACATAGAAGGGGCTAATTGTTTAACATGCATTTGTCTTCCCCTTGGTTCACCAGGGAGATCTCTGCCCGCAACCCTATGAAGCAGGCCCCTTGTTAAAGGCACTTAGAAAATTCCCAACACTGTGGCTTAGAGCAGGGGTGGGTAACCTCATGCCGGGGGGGGGCAGAAATCCCCCCAACCCATCTTATCTAGTCCTTTCTACGGTCTCCCTGGCCTCTTCTTCCCAGGACACACCCTGCACTGCCTGTCCTCCATGCCCTCAAGCGCTCTGCCTAGCTGCAAGGTGTCTCTGAACCTTGGCACTGCCTCTTGCTCACCTGGATGGAGTGGGAGGTCTGTGCCAAAACCTCTGACTTTTGAGTGGCCGAAACATACAAAAGAGGCACATCTGTTGCTCTAGTCTAGCCACATTTGCCTCTGGCCCTGCTCAGCATTTGCAGGCAGTCCGCCGGGGAGGTTTCGCATGAAGGAATGCCACCCTCTGGCTGAAAAACAAGTTCCCCACCTTAGGAACCTTAAAGGTAAAGGTACCCCTGACCATTAAGTCCAGTCGCGAACGACTCTGGGGTTGTGCGCTCATCTTGCTCTATAGGCCGAGGGAGCGAGCGTTTGTCCACAGACAGCTTCCGGGTCATGTGACCAGCATGACTAAGCTGCTTCTGGCGAACCAGAGGAGCGCACGGAAACGCCATTTACCTTCCCACCAGAGCAGTACCTATTTATCTACTTGCACTTGACGTGCTTTTGAACTGCTAGGTGGGCAGCAGCTGGGACCTCAGGAGTTGCTAAATGCTCCTTAGGAGCAATGTATAATCCTGAACTAAATTGCACTGTGCAGTAATAGAAAATATCAATCTACGTATAACCCTTTTTAAAATCCTAAAGTTCTCAAATCAGTGATATTGTCGCAAGAGGAGCTCCTGAGAAACATTTCTCCTTTCATGAGCTTCAAGTTTCCCCTCTTAAAAACATACAATGCTCTGCCTTGCATTGACCAGCATATAGCTTTAAGAGAAGAAAAAATACAACTGCAGCATGTTAAACTGACAAAAATTGCATTTCTCTTCACAGCTGAAGGATTTAGGTCACCTACACACGCCCAACAACAACAAAAGGCAGCTCATACCACAAACACACACACACAAAGCTAAGCGGGTGGGTCAAGAGGGAGAAGAGACAACGCCGACTTTTGGCAACAGCTCTGCTTGCGTTGCTGTGTTTCTCTCCTGTCATTCTTTATTACCTAGGATAGTGGCTGGAAGCAGGATGCCTAAGTGCTTTGGCACTCCTGCTGCTTTTATCACACTAGCAGTGGCAGCAGTCTTTTCAAAATAATCACTTCCGCAAAGGAAACCCTGCCAGGAAGTCAGAGAGGAAGGGCAAGGGGACTTTAAAACGCCCACCATGAGCTCGTTTCCCCCTCTGGAGGAGCGGCTGGGGCCTGACAGCCTGCTCCAGCTCTTTTTGTACTTCCCATGGCAGAAGTTAAATTGGGAGTGATTTAACATTCCCAATTTAGCTTCTGCAAACCCGAGCTGAAAGCTGTAACTCAAGCAGTATTCCCCCGTGTGCCAGAGGCACGCTCTGAACAGCATACTAATGCGGCTCGCCTTCGGAGCAGGCTCTCGCATCCCCACAAAACCTGAACTTTTCGTTCCCGATTAATTTCAGTTACTGCTTTGAAGCTGACGTTTTGTCAGACACTGGTGAAGCGCCCGTCACTATGACTGGCAGGCTGCTTTGGGGATGCATTCAGCAAAAGGCAGGGCTGGTGGCGCACATTGCAAGGACCCCTGGCAAGATTTCCCTCCTGCGCAAGACTAGGGATAAGGAATGCGCAAATCCGGGTGGTGTATGGCTACGACTCCCATCATCCCTGATCACTAAGCCGTGCTGAGTGACGCTGATGGGAGACTAAAGTCCAACAAGCGTCACAGGTTCCCTACCCGTGATCTAGACAATTCAGTGTCAGGATTGGGGTGGTAAACAGGTTTAGCTCTCGGCAGAGTTTAGTCCTTAAGAGCAGAGTTTTAACTTTTATTTTTCATCCAGATGAGTGACTGATACTATTTCCCTTACCTAACAAATCACACGAAGTTATCCCTGCTGTTAAGGTTCAGTTTGCCTGCCCTATTCCCACACACCCAGTAATCCCTTGCATCAGTAGGTAGGACAGGAAAAGGATTTACAGTTGCAATCGAAATGATTCAAACCCCCCCCCCCCAGTTGCAAATCAGGTTTATAATAAAAAATTACAGATTTCAGCTGTTTGCAACGAGCAAATCAAACAAAAGCAATTGGAATAGCTGAACACAAACGGATGCTTCGAGTAGTTCACCCAATTCAGCTGAAATTGCAACTTATGCTCGCTTCTCCAGTCTCACTATTATTCAACCCCCTGCATTGCAAACAGCTGAATGTCTGTAAAGTTTGATAATAAACCTGATTTACAATGGGAGCTGAATAATTTTGATTGCAACTGTAGCTATTCGCCAGACTCCTGTTGCCAACACACTTGCCACAATGAAAGCCAAAGAAAGACTATTTTCGATTTATATCCCACTTGTTCTGCCTAACACTAGACCAGAGTTTCCCAAATTGGAACCCAGGTGTGTTTGGACTACAATACCCATCATCCCTGACCACTGGTCCTGCTACCTAGGGATGATGGGAATTGTAGTCCAAAAAAAGCTAAGTTTGGGAAACCCTGCACTATACTCTTACAGTTTGTTACTGAAAGGACCAGTTCCGATGAAGATATATTTGCTTCATCTCTCTTGGTTTTCAAAGCACAGAATGAGAGTTAGACCCATGCTGTTGCCCCCATCCTGCACTCAAGATGGCAGCTTTAGCGTTTCAATCATGGTTTGTTACAACCCTGGTTTTCCAGGTACATCTGAATTCAGAAACTGTGGTTTAAGACTGCAATTCTATACTTTCTCACTTAGGAATAAGTTATATTGACTTTATGCCTTAAGAGGCGTGTATAGGGCTGAGCTGTCAATCTCAGTTTACTAAGCAGGATACAAAACCATAAACGGGAGGGGGGAGGAGAGAATAGGTTGAGCTTCTATTTATTAGCCTGCATGCAACCCATCACCTCTTCCAGGCAACCGTTCAAGGGTTTCATCACCTCGCTGGGAATGGAAGGAGGGGAAAGACGTCTGGGATAGCTCAGTTGGTAGAGGATGAGATTCTTAATCTTAGGGTCATAGGTTGGGCAAAAAAATTCCTGCATTGCAGGGGATTGGACAAAATAACCCTCATGGTCCCTTCCAGCTCATTCTATGATCATATGACTCAGCTGGGTGTCGTCAGTATACTTCCAAACTCTGAATGAGTGCTTTTAGCAGCTTCATTTTAAATGCTAAGAGGAACGGGGCATAAAATGCAGCAAATTGCAGGACAAGTCAACAGCCATGGTGATCCCCAGTGGAAGTCGCTGCCAACGTCTTTACTTGAGAGGCCCCATAGGGCTCTTCAATGAAGCTCTCTGCTGCCTTGTTCCTCAGCTCCCCTTCCCTGTGGGCAGTAGTGCAGACAGGTAATTTAAGATGAACTCCATATGAAGTCAATAGTACTTACTTCTGAGGAGCCGTGGCTTGCAGCCATAGACTCTTCATCATCTTTATGTGGTTATATGTGCACTGCTTTGCTCACTTTCCCATGTGATAAACCACAAGAATACAGAGCACTCTAGCGCTCTGTATTTGCCCAGTCCTACCCAGGGATGCAGGTGGCGCTGTGGTCTAAACCACGGAGCCTAGGGTTTGCTGATCGGAAGGTGGGCGGTTTGAATCCCCGCAACGGGATGAGCTCCCATTGTTCGGTCCCAGCTCTTGCCAACCTAGCAGCTCGAAAGCACATCAAAGTGCAAGTAGATAAATAGGTACCACTCTGGCGGGAAGGTAAACAGCATTTCCGTGCGCTGCTCTGGTTTCGCCAAAAGTGGCTTAGTCATGCTGGCCACATGACCCAGTAAAGCGAGATGAGCGCCACAACCCCAGAGTCGTTCGCAACTGGACGTAACTGTCAGGGGTTCTCTTTACCTTTATCTTTTTACCCAATTCATATAGAGCAAAACTAATAGGTTTTCTAGAAACCAATACTACAACATGCGACAGTTTCATTGCAGATATTTTGGGGTTCCTCAGCAGCAAACTGGCACGGACAGTTCTCCCTCCAGGCAGAAAGTTTGAAGCACACTAATTTATTATAGAAGAGTCATGTTACTGAAGAGCTACTCATACAGTACTACTTTCAATACAAAGAAAGAACATTCCCAGTACTGTGACAATTGTTACGTGCTTTTCATTGACTTACTAGGACATCTTCAGCAGTTCATTAGTTTCTGGCTTCCACACACCTCTCACTAACTGCTCAAAGTTAGATATTAGGCCGCCCCCAGCTCCTGCAATTCAACAAGAAATTATTACATGCATAAAATTGGTTCCAGAAGATCTGACGACATTCAATTCTGCTTCCAGTCAGGACAACTGCAAAGCTGCTCACATCCCTTTCTAAAAGGAGCAGGATATGGCCCTCAAGTTATAGGCACAAATGGAATGACCTACTTCACAGTTTTTGAAATTGGGTCCTCAATTTGAGACTCATTTGAAAGCATCCTATTGTCAGGGGCAAGCACCTAATATTTCAGGGGGGAAATTAATTCAACAAGGATCTTAAATTTTGTCAAAGCTTAATAAATAATAATAATAATAATGGAGGCAGCAGCCTGGTACGCTGGAGCTTAGAATTTGTGATTGTCCATTTAGTAAAAAAAGGCTTTGAGAGAGAGATTCCTATATCTTACTGAAGTTAAGCACAAAATCTCTTCTTGCTTACAAAGCAATAGCAACACAGAGATTATGCACCCATTAAGGGCTCATAGAATGACTTCCACTCTTCCCTGTGACTACTCCAGAAGAAAGACACCAAACTCATGGAAGTAGTAGTCCAGCCCTATAAAAGTCTCGCATAAGTTATTAGTCTACAAAAAAAATTTGACTAGCCTACTGGGACCTGGCAGAGGAGGGACAAACCAGTGTTCTGTTTTTAAACACCATGACTGCAACTCTTGAACCTTTTTTGAAACACCCATCACTTGTCAGCTCTCACCAAAAGAGCCTTTTGCAGCACACATATGAAAGCTAGCAGTTTAGTTATATGTAACTAAACCAAACTGGAGCTACTGTAGTATATTCCCTTTCCACCAATTCCAATGTTCACATTTTTTAAAAACGACGAGAAAGCACAAAAACACTCCCCTGCCCTGACGTCCACCGTGCTGACCTCCCCATCTCCTACCTATGGATTGCTGCCTTATAATTTGAGCTTTAAACAAACCTGTCAGAGCTGACGTAGAAATATAAATGCCCCTGCTACTGTTATACCTGGCAGAGGTGGAATTCCGTAATAAAATGAGAGCACCTATAAGCGGCTCTCATCCAAGAACAGCATTTGCCAGTAAAACTGAAACCTAAACTAGGGACATCTTATTCAGAGGCCACATAAACAGCAACATGTGAAAGCTTAGGCATGAGTTCTTTTCCTCTGGAGGGTGGAACTAAACTTGAGCAGGATTGAGCTTCATGGCTCTAAGGAGCAGCCAAGAAGGGGGTGGCAGTGGTGAGAGGGAGGGAGGGCGAAGAACACATTAACAGGATGGATTTAAATTGGTTTTTCCTCTAAGAGTGGCCCCGGATGCAATACCATTTCATAGAACAGTGGTGCCTAATCCACACAAGCTATGTACAGTCCACACACACCCATTTTTGTGCCCCCAAAATGCCACCCAAAATGCCAATGATTTTTGTGAGCCGCCCCAGTGTCCTTTAAAAAAATAATAATTGGCCATACTGATTTTTTTTTACAGAGGGTTCACTATGTGTCAGTGCAGCCCATGCCCCCTCAAAAGATTTGCAACCACTGTCCTTGAGATTCCCCCTTAAAATTTGAAACGCTTTTTAATATATATAGATATTATTTTTTATACATTACCTCTGGCCCAGCCAACTACTATCATGATTAACCAGACATTTTTGTAGTGCTGATGTGCATGTGCAATCCCGCCAGTTATTTTCCACGTTCTAGTCACTTCCTTCATCCCTGCAAGCAGCAGTCGTATAGGTAGAAAACAGAAACAGCGGTAGGCTAGATCACGCGGACAATAAAATACAAGATACCTAAAGAATTGGGGAAAAAGTTTGAACCTTAGCTACTTCGCAATGTTTGCAATGGAAGCATGCTGACAAAATGAAACAAACTGATAAAGGCTTTTTTTTAAAAAAAAAAAAAGAGCTAGATGTTAAGAAGTCATCGCTGTAGTATTACGGCTATCAGTCACTTTAAACCATAGTTAAACTAAACTATGGTTTAAATGTGAACATGCAGCGTGCTGCTGAAATTGTGGGCATGTGGCTCCTTCCCTGCTCTTTGGTTAAAAACAAACACACACAACTGCTGTAAAAAAAAATACCCCAACACCTCATTCTTTGTGGTATATCAAGATCTGGCATTTTAAAGAAGTATATAGCATTAAAAAAAAGTCACATCCATTGTGTTTAGTCCACATGTATCCTCTTAATATTACACTTCTAATGTACAAATACAGCATTTTCCTAAAGCTCCCAAATTTGGGGAAAATAGGCTAGGAGCCCGAAACATGCATTCACCAATGCTGCAATTGCATGAGTGACTCTCTCCACATACCTATAGGAGCAGGGGCAATTACATGAGCATTTTGTCTAGCTCTGAACAATCTTTCCCTCCCATTCACTTATTGAAAGATATATATATTCCCTCACTGTTCCACCCCAGCACAAAGGTTGAACAATTATAAATAAAGGCCTGGTAGGCAGCGTTTTACTCGCTTCCTCCTAATCATCTATTGCTCTCCCCTTTTGCCTCTGCCTCTACAGGCTCCTTTAACAAAGAGACATCATTTTCATTACCGTCTCCCTCCCACTGCCAAATTTGATTGAAAATCAAGCACGCCGGCTGACACAGAGTGAACAGAGATGCTGATGGTTTACTGTCAGGATCAGAGGAGATCTCTTCATCAGGTTTCACCAGCCTTCTCCGATCTCTCTCCATCGGCGTGCCAAAGGAATAAGCCTTCCTCAGATGCCTGCTCCTGTGCCAATGGAAGCTCAAAGGGCCAAGCACCTCTGCCTTCTTCAATCCGCACAGATATGCTTTATTATTGCAAGCCAACAGTTGTGACTTCACTATATGGACCTTGCTTTTTCCATTCTCAGAATCCACATACGTTTCTTAACATCTATATTTAATAATAATACGCAGGGCTTCAATTTAGCATGTGAGTTGTCTTAATACAACAGACTCTCCCTAACCTCCAGCAGGTGCATTGGGTGAAAATCTTTTAAAAAATAAGCTTACATTTGGAAACATTGTACAAGTTGGGTATTTTTTTTCAGACAGGTCAAATTATCTTTGCTTATGAAGCAGATCTTTCCCTAGCACCCTAGTGCAAAAGTCTTCAACAGGAATTTGCAATGCCAGACCTGCCCACCTAGGAGCAAGAGGAGCCAGTGTTTGAAATTCTGCACTTTGCACCTGACTATTGGCCATTTGCAACCAGGTGAAGATGCCCGGGTGCCAGGATGCCGCCTGATGTCTCCACCACCTGGAGGTGCATGCCTGAAGATCCTTGGATCTTGCCTGTTTCTACACACGAGCAACACATCCTGCAGAATTTTGTCCATTATATTTTATCTGCACAATCAGAATGGATTTCAGGAAACAAAAAGTTGTATTGAAAAAAGGCAACTTGACATTTAAGGAGCCATTTGGCACCTAGGCTCACATATCTGAGTGTTTAACTCTGACAGGAGCAGGTGGAAAAAGTGGTCTCTCTGTGGGTCTGTTTGACAGCACAGTCTGGCGAACCATACAGGATAGTCTGAACCGCCGCTCTCCACCCTCTCTCAAATTTGCCTGTAAAACTAGTCGCTGGCCAGGGATCTATAATAAATTAGGAGACTGCTCAGTGGTGATTTTGATCTCATTAGAGAAGTGGTATTACACAATATTTGCTCATTACCGTACACCTGTGAAATCCCATTTATTTTTCAAGGGAGAGGGGACACAAGAAGAAGAATTGGAGGGGAACAGCCAGCTTTTGTTTTTCCAGTTTTCTTCTGGGCCTTCACAACTCTAGAGGCACATTCCTTTCATGCAAAGTCATAGCAATGCATGTGCATAATTGTCTCTGCTGTATAGGAAGAACAGCAGATTCCTCATTATGTCCTAGTCAAAGGGGAAAATAGTATATAGTATTCAAATCAGGCATTTATAATAAATAAGACTGGCTCTTGTAGAATGCGAGAGATGTTTCCAATAGGTGCCAGTAGATGTCACTAGTTGACAGCCATAACAGAATCTCTATTAGCTTGGCTTGTTCAGAGAAGGGAAAAAGTTTCTTTTATTTTTATTTTTTATTGATAGTTACAATAACAAAAAACACGAAACAAACAGAATAGACAACGTCAAAGTAACATAAAAAATAAGAGAAACAGCAAACGAAAAAAGATATCAACCTAAAATACAAAAACAAACAAACAAAAGTACACAAATCTTGACTTCCCTCCACCTGTGTATGACTTCCTTCTTTCTCTTTTATTTTAATTGTGTTATCAATAATATTTTGCCTTTATACCTTTTATACCCAACTTCTCCTTGTCTTTACCCTGTAAACTTCATTCATTGCATATCAATATGTTTATGCCAGAACAATGTTTTTTCATGTACTCCTTTACACAATCCCACTCTTCTATCAGTTTTTGATCTGATTGTCCTCTTATCGCTGCCGTAAGTCTTGCCAGAACTATATATTCACAAAATTTAATTTGCCACTCTCTTACTGATGGAATTTTTTCTCCCAGTGAAGGGGGAAAGTTTCATTTCAGATTTTATGCAATACGGAGGCAGCATTCTACACAATTCTAAAGTCGGCTGTATTTTTTACATGCAATAACAACATTCCTAAATGGTCAGTTGCTGAAGTCGATAGGGCTCATACTTCAACGTGTAAATGTAAACAAGGCTTGAGTGAAAACAAAGCATTTCACACTTGTCACTTGGGTTCTTGGTTTGTTCTGTGATGCATCTGACAGCAATCTTCAGAACTTGCCTTCTGTTTTGATGGAAGCATCCACACACCACTTCACACATCAAGGGGCTGCACCTTCTCCAATCCAATTCCTTGTGAAGCATTTCAGAGGATGAGAGGGGAAAGGTTTAAACACCTACTTCTCAGATATATTAAAAGATTCAACTGCAGAAAACGGGGCCCTGATAGTGCATTTGCCATGTTTACTTTTAATAATGATAGCAGTGTTATTAACCAAGGTCATATAGAATCCCTTGCACCAGAGGTGGCTAGCACTCAGCTTGGAGTCCTGATGGGGCCCCAGAAACAACTGCTGGGGGACCACAAAACCCCACTGTTTTTCTGCATGGGTACAATCTATATGTAAGAAAAAACAGGAGTTCATCATGATGTACTGTATATAACACAAAATCAGTATGTTGTACATCCCAAATGCACCAGCAAGGCGGGCAGGGTTTTTTTTGCGGGGGGGGGGGATGGGACCCAGCTTCCCTAAACGCTTTAGGAAAACTGCTTCTTATCCTAACAGGTAAAGGTAAAGGGACCCTGCCCATTAGGTCCAGTCGTGACCGACTCCGGGGTTGCGGCGCTCATCTCGCTTTATTGGCCGAGGGAGCCGGCGTACAGCTTCCGGGTCATGTAGCCAGCATGACTAAGCTGCTTCTGGAGAGCCAGAGCAGCACACAGAAACACCGTTTAACTTCCCGCCAGAGCGGTACCTATTTATCTACTTGCACTTTGACGTGTTTTTGAACTGCTAGGTTGGCAGGAGCAGGGACCAATCAACGGGAGCTCACCCCGTCGTGGGGATTCGAACCGCCGACCTTCTGATCGGCAAGCCCTAAGCTCTGTGGTTTAACCCACAGCGCCATCCGTGTCCCTCTTATCCTAACAGATGCACCTTAAAGTAGAGATGATGGTGCATGAATATACATTCAAGCTATCCTATTAAGGATGGTGGCATCCTTTAAGTATGATAGGAAGAAACAAGGCAATGAAGTTATTTTTTTCCTTGGACTTAATTTGCCTGAATAACTGGAGTGTTTTATCAATCAATCAGTTAATTTTAATAAGACACCATTTAAGTCTCTGCATATTGAAAAGCAGCTTCGACTATACCTCCCTATAGCTTCTTCCTATGTCAAGCAATGGATATGGCTCAGAACGGCATCTCATAATGAGATTTTTGGATTCTAGGACGAGTATAGGATGACGGTAAACACATGGACTTGAATCCTGAGGAAGGGTTACATTGTCACCCAACTACCTCACTCATCAACAGACCCCCAACTTATAGGGACAGGGGGTTTGGGGGGCGGGGTGCAGGAGGCTTCAGAGTGAAGCAAAAGGCCATTCCATGAACACCAACTCTGTTCTGTTTATGGAAGAAAAGTTAGGGTCTGAGCCAGAAAATGCATGCTTTGTTTTTCAGGCCAGGAGACCCAATTATTCTGATTAAAGGCGACCTAAATCAAAGCACATTCTCATACCGATGAACTTCTAATAAGATGATGTTAGTACTGCTTAAACTGAGAAACTACTATAGTGAAGGAAAAACACTTCCCCCCCCCCACAAAAAAAGACCCCACAAGCATTCACCCCACCCAAATGTGGGTTAAGAGACAGTGGAAGAGAGTAGCATCCATTCCACAGCTCGTGTCACGGCAGCTAAAGAAGGGCTGAGATTCATAAATTCAACCCCAACTCAAAACTGTTAATGAGCTTCACTAATTAGGAAAAAGTCTGAAAAAGAACAACATGTACTTTATGCACGCATAAAAAGATACTGTTCTGTGCCAGTTACGAACACTGCTAAGTCCTATTACTGGGCCTCTCAGCTAGTTGGAAATTCACATGGAGGACAAATCTAGCTCACAGTAATTACTAGTTTGCACGTACCAATCTTCTGTCTTTCTCCTAACTCCAATGTTCTGAAAGACTAGAAGTGTAGTGTTCAGAGTACTGGACTAGGACTTGGAAGACCAGGGGTCAATTCCCCAGCTGAACCTACTTCACAGGGTTGCTGCGAGGATAAAAGGGGCAGGGGGAGAACCATATATGTCACCTTGAGCTCCCTGGAGGAAAGGTGGCTCTAATAGTCAGGAAAATGCAAATCTTAATGCGGTAAATTGAATGACTGGCTTCCATTTACGCCACAAGACACCAAGGTAAGCAGCCCAATCTGATCTATACAGTGGTACCTCGGGTTAAGTACTTAATTCGTTCCGGAGGTCCGTTCTTAACCTGAAACTGTTCTTAACCTGAAGCACCACTTTAGCTAATGGGGCTTCCTGCTGCCGCCATGCTGCCGGAGCACGATATCTGTTCTTAACCTGAAGCACTATTTCTGGGTTAGCGGAGTCTGTAACTTGAAGCGTATGTAACCTGAAGCGTATGTAACCTGAGGTACCACTGTACTTACTAGAAGCCGAGGCCCGCCGAGTTTCAGGTAAGTAACTGAGACTGCAGCCTTTGTGAGAAAGGCATCGATGGCGGCATTCAAAATGAACCTGAAAACAGTAACTGCTCGCTTTTACTCCGAGAAGGGCAAGCCCAATTTCCTCTTGAAAGACAGACGTACCTGCCATTGTTCTAAAGTAACAGGTCTTACCCCACATTTGAGACAGGATGTATTATTGCCTTTAAAAGTTTTTTTCTTTAGTGCAACGTTTTATTTTAGTCAGTCTAACATACACCCAGTGCTCTTTTGTTAAAAATAAAAACCATGTAAAACAGCATAGGGGGTGGGGGACACACAAGAAAAGAGGGTTCTTGACATCACAGGGATCAGCCAGTCAGGACTGTGAACAACACACCCTATAGGAAAACCTGCAGATTATTCACCTTCCCCAAGCTACACCATGAACCAAAATAACTCTATGTACATATTGTGGCAAGTGCACCAATTGCCCTTTTTATGCATGTCTATATAAACATCCAGTTTTTAGCATTTGAACAGCTTCTAATTACAGGTGCAACACTGTGTTAACTAATTGATTAAATTGAATAAAAACCTTTTTCAACGAGGTACCCAGACAACAACTTGTATTAAAAAGCATATTTAAAAACCGCCAATTGCAGACACCCATTTCTCTTGGGCCCTGAATATTTTTATTTATTCATTCGTATGCAAAACTATGCAGATTTAATCTATTAAAACTCACACAATTAACTGACCTAGATTCTTTGAATCAGATGGCAGCTCTAAAATTCTGAAGCTGCATTCCATGAATTTAAGCACAGATTTAAGTTTTAGGCAACATCCTTCATCGTAAAAGCTGCTTACCAGACTGACGAGGCAAGTAAGACATTTGTGGTGTTGGCAAGAAATCCAACTGGAGGTTCTGCAAGCATCAGCGAAGATAAAATGGAGCCACCAAAACAGTAAAGCATTGCGCTAAACCAGCATGCAATTGGGCTGCGGTATGATACGTCAACTGCTCCTGGAACAGTAGAAAAGACAAAGTGTAAGTAGTTCAAACATCTCACCTTTAATCTCTACAGAAAGAGCAAAAACCTGATCACAGGTCAGCACCAACCACCACCCTCAGCAATTTTCAGGCCATCCAGTGGGGTGCAAATTTGGGAACCACTGTTCCTACCAATGTAGTTCATTAATTTGCTTCACATGCCCAATACCAAAATGGGTTTAAGCATTATTTATGAAAACAGTATAGAAAGCATGATCTCCAACTTTAGCCATACTCTGAGCAAACCCACTGAAATAAATGGATTTTTATTTAGTTCAGTATGTTGCTTATTACTGAATAAAGTGAATAAAGCTGGATGCTGCCCAAAGTATTTGAAATGGCATCACGAGTGTGAAGGGTCATTGTGTCTTTCCTGATATAACACCCCAAAAACTTCCTAAAGATGACCCTAAGGATCAAGTGACTCTTTGAAAGAACAAGAGTTGGAGCACAGGAGTCTCTGGGGCAGGATAAGGAAATGAGAAGAATTTGGTTGGGGATGCCTTGCAAAAGCAAAAGGGCCTGACTATTCACCTTTGTATCCAAGCCAATAAATCCATTGCCTACCCATAGCTAAAGCATACAGAACAAACTGTCTATGGTCAAAATCCCAAGAACACTTTGAGAGAGCAATTCCCACTGAACGTAGAGCTTACTTCTGAGTAAACATACTTAAAACTGCATTGTCAACCCCATTGATGTCATTTAAGATTTCTCCTTAACTGGCCTCACTGTTGGGTTCTAAGCCAACCTTATAAGAAGACTTTTGTTTGATTTGTTTGTGGCAAGGACCAACTCCAGGCCACAAGGCAGAAAAGGTTTTCCACCCCCTGCCTTCTTTTAGGCCACAAATGGCCGGTACAGGGGGTCTTTGCAGTCAACTAGCAAAAAAGCTGTTATGAACTTTGTTTGCAAGGTTGTTCCAAGATTGGTCCACATTCAATATGTAAAATAAAAAAAATCCTTCCAGTAGCACCTTAGAGACCAACTAAGTTTGTTATTGGTATGAGCTTTCGTGTGCATGCACACTTCTTTTATATTAAAGAATTGTTTTATTTTGTTTTGACTACGGCAGACCAACATGGCTACCGACCTATAACTATTCAATATGTACTTATCAAGCATGATGAAATACTGTGCAAAGCATACAGACCCCTCAACAATCAGCTACTATGTGAATGTCAAAAAAGAAGATACATTTACAATGGTCCAAGTAATAACAGCACTGAATGCAACCATCATAGCACCAGAACAGGTGCAAGGCTTCATTCAAAAGGACCAACCCAGCTCCAACTCTCTACAAAACATTCTACTACTGCAAATGCAATACTATTTCAATTTTTAAAAAAACTTGCTTTCTTTACAATAGTATGAGCACAAGAAAGCAGGCAAGTTAAGAAACTGGTATTATGTAGAAAAGCAAATTTTAATGGGAGAAAACAGAAATGATCAAGTGATTTGCTTTCAGTAATCCACAAGTAATTAGATGTAGCCACTAATTACCTGCCTTTAATTCATACCAAAAAATGAGGATCCAGTTAGTAGGTGCACATGCAACTTAATTCTTTGGAATTACTTTTGTTAAGCCAAATTAAACATAGTTTGTATCAGCAATATCCAAATATAAATTGCCATGCTTTAATATCTGCACTGCATGTCCCAATGAATATTAGTGCTGAGAACCCATCAATATTCCTTCTAGCATTAAAGCTGCAGTTAATTAAGCTTAATTGTGTGCTTGACAAGGGAGATAATTATCTGGATGAACTATCAGATTTACCTAATTACAAGTCTGGAGCACAAGATATTAAGTCCAAATGCCCTATTCACAAGTATATATTTACAAGGATTTGTGAGGTCAGAAGACAGACACATATTCCACAAGTCTAATTTCCACTACCCCCCCCCCAAAAAAGATGTTTTGATATATATCAGGAAGATGCTCCAGATTCAGAGGAACAGGGGCTAGTGGATTAGTTGCAGGTTTTCTCTCCAAGCAAGAACAGCAACAAGTGAAGACTTCACCTTCCCAGAGAGACCAGGAAACTCAGACTTCCAGAATGATGCCTTAATGTCCAAAATTATACAGGTGCAAGCAATGGTAACTTTTCCCTGCTGCTCCTCCTACACTCAGTTCATGCTTGAGATGCTGCTGCATCATTAAGCCATTGGCAATCCTGTTCCAAAGGGGTCAAGCGAGCACCACCACCACCTGTGCTTCCAGCTCCTTCTGCATCTGGTCCTCTGGTCTGCCACTTTCAGCTGGAAAGTCCTGCCAAGCTGGCCTGAGTCTCCGGTCCCCTTCAGCTTTTGGTGTTCCTCCCTTGCCCCCTATGCCTCTTATGGTAGATAAAGGTAAAGGGACCCCTGACAGTTAGGTCCAGTCATGGCCGACTCTGGGGTTGCGGCGCTCATCTCGCTTTATTGGCCGAGGGAGCCGGCGTACAGCTTCCAGGTCATGTGGCCAGCATGACCAAGTTGCTTCTGGCAAACCAGAGCAGCGCATGGTAACACCGTTTATCTTCCCACTGGAGCGGTACCTATTTACCTACTTGTACTTTGACGTGCTTTCGAACTGCTAGGTTGGCAGGAGCAGGGACTGAGCAACGGGAGCTCACCCCGTCGCGGGGATTCAAACCGCTGACCTTCTGATCGGCAAGTCCTAGGCTCTGTGGTTTAACACACAGCGCCACCCGCGTCCCTCCTCTTATGGTACATCCCTTCTTTATACCAGCCTTGCCCAACTAGATCTATGAGCCAAGCATTGCATTGGGGTAACTTAAGATTGCAGGTGTTCACCATGGATGAGAACTGAGCTTAGCTCCCATTCAAAACCACCACCACCATTCATCACTGCAGCATGTCCAGGCACCCGGTGGAGAGCAGCACTGCCACCTAAGCAGCAGTGGTGCAACAGCCACTATGCCATTTTCACCACAAGCAGGACTGGGCCATGACCTGGTGTGTGTTTTTTGGGGGGGGGGGGGGCGAGGGGATGTTATTAGCACCATTCCCATGTCTCTCCGAAGTCTGGATCTACACTCCAGCTTTGATTCCCAGGATTCTTTGAGGAAGCAGCAACATGTAAAAGCCAGTGTAAGACTGTGTTGCAAATACGCCCCTGGAGTCAAAGGAATCAATTTGTTTTTCTTTGGAGGAAAGGAACACTGCACATTATTTGTGGGTCCAAAAATTCAAGTTAATGATTATAGCATGGGCATGTTGTTACTATGCTGTTATGCTGCTTCAATGGCTTGCCATTTAAAGTTGCCATTTATAGCTATATTGTGGGTAGAATGATGAACTAAATTTAGTGTTTTGTATCATCAATCTGAACATGGTCTTGTCAGTTGGGTTTACCCCACTAATGATGAGACACCATGAAGGCATGCAGTGTGTGCTCCGGCCAAGTGGTGAAGATAAGGTTGCTAAGGGGCCAACTTCATGTCACACACAGCTCTGTCTTTTTCAAAGTGAGAGAAAGCAGCTGAAGGATTCTGAGCAGAGAAGCCGCACGTAAGTGTGCCTATACCATAGAAGCATATCGCTTTCACTGTTTCCCCCATTCAGAATTTGCCTATAGCAGTTCCACTCCTGCAAAATGCAGGCAAATGCGGTGCATTTTCAACACTACCAAAGCAAAGTCACATAGTACTTCCTTTTGTCTGCCTAAACACACCTGTTTGAGGCTGAGGTGCCTCAATAGTACTTGTTGAGAGTCAAGGCCATGGTGAACAGAGTGTCGTGGAAAGGGATCTTTTTGTATACAAGTACACAACCATGATTGTATATAATCGTGAGGGCTATTATGGACCAAGGAGAAGACTGGGGTGTGTGTGACATGCTCAGCTATCCCCAGTATAGACCCAGTTTTTAATTTCTGAAGAGAGATTCCAAACACTCTTAAAGGTTCTGAAATGGTCCATGGCAGACATCGTGAGACTCTACAGTGCATGATTGGAGAACCTGCAGGCTTCCAGCTCTTGTGGGACTCCAGTTCCCATCAGCCCCAACCAGAAATGGTGGGAGTTGTAGCCCAGCACCTGGAGAGCTACAGATTCCCCATCCTTGCACTACAGAGTTTCACAACTTGTGCCCTGAAGCAGTTCAGACCCTAAAGCCACATGATGCAGCAACAACCTGGCTGAAGCCAAGCAGGTCTGGACTGGTCAGTACCTGAACAGATTACCAGACACCCAACAAGTGCTACCTGGAATTTCATTAAAGAAAGCACAGCATAACAAAATAAGAGTCATCACTTGAATCCATTCATTGATATGTGATGTTAGTCAAATCTGCTCCATACACACTCCAAATCCACTCTGCATACTGCTTTTATGCCAAAGCACTAAGCCAGTCGTATTTGTGTCATTTCAGCAACACGCTTTTGCCAGCCTTTTAAAAAACCCTGAATGTTTTTTTTGTGTGTGTGCAGCTTGGCATTTGCTTTAATACTGCCAGCTGCTTTTAAATTGTGGTATTTCAATGTTCTTGTTCCCATTGGTTTTATTTTTAACTTTTGTAAGCCACCCTGAGAACCTGTTAATGCTAAATAAATAAAAGCTTTTAGGACAGTCTGAACCTAGCTATAAATTTAACCTCTGGCAACAGCTGTTCTTGATACATGTGCTGATTTTGGTCTCAGGGTACCATTCCTCAAACTGGTGCCCTCCAGGTCTTTGACTACAACTCCCACCAGCCCCAGCCGGTATGACCAACAGTTGCAGATGATGGAAGCTGGGAGCCCCAACTTCCAACACCTGGAGGGTCACAGGTTCCCCACCCTTGGTGCAAGGGGGGAAAGTAACTCTGCACATGATCAGAAGCACTGTTGTTACTTCCAGTTAGAACAAAAGTCCTGCTGGATCACACCAAAGGCCTATCAGGTCCAGCACCCTCTTTCTCACAGTGACCAACCAGACGTCTATGGGAAGCACACAGGCAGGAGATGAAGGCAACAGTTGCTCTTCAGAAACAGGCATTGTTGTGTATTAGCTTTGAGTATGGACTTCCATACAACAAACACAGCTAACAGTCACTGGCAGAATCATAGAACTGTAGAGCTGGAAGGGACCCAAGGGTCATCTAGCCCAACCCCCTGTAGTGCTGGAATTTCAGCTAAAGCATCCAAGACAGATGGCCAAACCAACCTCTGCTTAAAAACCTCAAATGAAGGAAAGTCCATCAACTTCCAAGGGAGACTATTCCACTGTCGAACAGTTCTTACTGTCAGAAAGTTCTTCCTAATATTTAGTCAGAATCTTCTTCCTTGTCACTTAAATCTATTGGTCCAGGTCCTATCCTCCAGAGCTGGAGAATACAAGCCTGCGCTATCCTCCATGTGACAGCCCTTTAGCTATCTGGAGGTGGCTATCATGTCTCCTTTTTACCAGGCTAAACATGCCCAGCTACCTGAACCATTCCTCATAAGGCTTGGTTTCCAGACCCTCTATCATCTTGGTCCACTGGGTGCCAATATTGAAATATTGGGTGAGCCAGGTAAGCCCCGCCCCACATAACTGATCACATGGTGTTGCAAACATACACCATTTGAATGGCAATGCCCATTCACTCAAATATTTTATGAGGGGACTGAAGACTCCTTTGCCCCTAGGAGTCGGCTCCTATGTCTTTAGTCGCCTTCCTCTGCATAACATCCCTTCTTAAACTGTGGTGCCCAGAACTGGATGCAGAACTTCAGGATACAATGATAAGCCTTATATCCTCCAGGAATTTACCTAATCCGGCTACCTGTCAAAGCCATCCAACGAACCATGCATGCGTCTGTCACCAAGTCGTATGGATTCAAATTTCATAAACTAATAATAATAAAAATTTTATTATTTATCCCTCGCCCATGTGGCTGGGTTTCCCCAGCCACTCTGGGCAGCTACGCAGCAGGCAAAAGTAACAAGTTTTGATGGATGTAATAATGGAATAGCTTAGTTTATGTAAAATATGCGTGGATTTATGGTATGCAAAATGAACCATGGAAAGAGCAGAAGGGAAGTCACTGATGCTTTAAGGTTATTTAAATGAACATTCTAAAATGTAAAACAGAAAATATAATATAGGAAAAAATGAACAAAAAAAATGCTTAATTTTCTCCCTCCCCGCCAAAAAATTTAAAAAAGGGGTGTTTGTGTTTCTTTATAAAACGTGCGGGCATGCAACATACAATTTAAAAAAGAGAAAAGCGGCGTGGAGCTGAGCGAGCCCTCTCCTCGCAGCTAACCGCGCTCGTCCACAAGGGAAGGCACTCTGCACATGCCCAGGAGGCACGGCCAGACGCGAGGCCGGGCTCCTCCGGCGCCGCCATCCCCGCTGCCCGCCCGCCTTCCCCCTCACTCACCCGGCTGCTCCTTCAGCGACAGGACGGAGGCCGCGTAATGCGCCAGGTCGAAGAAAGGGAACATGGGCAGGCGGGAGAAGCGAAGCGCCACCTGCCCCAGGAGCTCCTCCATCGCGGCGGACTCCGCCGCGCATGCGCCGGCGACGGATTTAAAGAGGGAACGTGAGGGGGGCGGGGGAGGGCGAGAAGAGCCAAACGAGCAAGGGGCGGGGCTTAGAAGGGCCCCTCCGCCCCCTCTCTCTTCATCGCCTCAGGCCAAAAAGGGGCGCGAACGGTCCCAATCGAATCCCGCGCATACTTTTTTGTCCCGTACAAACCGCCGTCGGGCGGGATGAGCGCTCGCGCCGCGGGGGCGGGGCAGAGGCTGGCCCCGCCCCCTCCATCCCTTTCCCCCCCCCCAACGTTGTGCTGGAATGAAAGGCGATTGGCCGGGCTGCCGCGCGGTGGGCGGGGACAGGAGGGTGGCCGCGCGATCAGGCAGGGACGCTCAGAACGGGAGGCAGTGAGGGCCGGTCCTCCCGTTGGGGAAGGTGGGGCAACTGCCTCAGGCAGCAAAAGAAACAAGGGTGGCAAATCCTAATGCAGATAATTATTGATTTCTGCTCCCCCTCTGTACCTGATGTTGATCTTCAGTCTAGGGTTGCCACCTTTGTTATGACATAATGCACAGGTTGAGTGCAAATATATTTTTTTTTCATCTGGTGCTGAAGTGACAGCTGTGTACAGCTGAAAACACTGGCAGCATTAAGATAAATTCAACAGTGTAAATAAGTTCTGATGGATGGAATACTGAACAGTATAGTTTTTGTAAAATATGTGGGGATTTATTATCTGTATGGTAAGAGAAGAAGGGGAGTCATTGATATTTTAAGGATGTAAAAATGAGTACTTTAAACTGTAAAACAGAAAATTTAATTATAGGTATATATCTATAAAACACATATATATGAGAGAGAAGTGATATATCTATCTATCTATCTATATACACAGTCATACCTCGGGTTGAAGTTGCTTCAGATTGAGCATTTTCGGGTTGCGCTCCACGGCGACCCGGAAGTAACAGAACGCATTACTTCCAGGTTTCACTGCTCGCGCATGAGCAGACGCTCAAAATGATGTCACGCGCAGAAGCGACGAATCGCAACACACAGACACGGGTTGCGTTCACTTCAGGATGCGAACGGGGCTCCGGAACGGATCCCATTCGCATCCAGAGGTACCACTGTATATATATGAAGTGACTTCAAAACAATCCATTGCAATCTATTGTAGCCGTACAGGATGGCCCCTTTGGAATTTGTCCATACACGAGAATTTGTAAATCTGTCTGTGCTTGGCTACCCAGAGCTTAAATACATGACGTTTCACACACTCTTTCAAACACATGCATTTGGAAAAGATCCCTAACTTGGGAGAGAGAGGGACCTGAAATACAGGACAAACTCTTATCAGCCACTCGCACACAAAAAACAAAGTTCACCACAGCCAATCACAAACAAACAGCCACACCCTAGGCCAACCCCAATTTCTCTCACCACCAAAGGAACACAAGCGAATAGCAAAACCCCACACATACATTAAGCAAATTAGAAACATCACCTCCCGACCCCACCCCCACTCGCCTTCCCCCCCCTCCACCTCTCCCCCCCCTTTTCTTCCTAATGTAACCCTAATGTCTCAAATGAAACTGACCTATGGAAAATGTAACTTGAAAAAAGAGACATTGCGCATACCTTTGTAAACCAAGAAAACTTTAATAAACATAAAAAAACACACCACAATACAGGATGTAGCATTTTACATTGAAATACGGGACAATCCTGTACAGGCGTACCTCGGCTCCTGAATGCCTTGGGAGTCAAACCTCCTGCTCCCGAACGATCAAAAACCAGAAGTGATTGTTCCGGTTTTTGAACATTCTTTTGGAAGCCAAACGTCCAGCGGGGCTTCCACGGCTTTCCATTGGCTGCAGGAGCTTCCTGTAGCCAATCAGAAGCTGTGCTTTAGAAGTCAAACGGACTTCCGGAACGGATTCTGTTTAACTTTCGAGGTACGACTATATTGTACAGGACAGGCGGCCACCCTCTTCCACAGAGGGGAGCTGTGGGGGCACCATGTTGTGATTCACCTCGGTTCACCTGTCTTGGGCTGGCCCTGCTTGGGTGACTTTAAAAGAGGATTGGACAAGTTCATGGAGGATAAGGCTGCTTGCCATGATGGCCACCAGTGATGCTTTATGAGTGCCAGTTGCTGGGAATCGCAACTGGGGAGAGGTGCTCTTATGCTTAGTTCCTGCTTGGGAGCTTCCTACAGCGGCATCTACTTGTCCAGTGTGAGTACAGCTCCTGCCAACCTAGCAGCTTGAAAGCACGCCAGTGTAAGTAGATAAATAGGTACTGCTGTGGCAGGAAGGTAAATGGCATTTCCGTGCGCTCTGGTTTCCGTCACAGTGTCCCGTTGTGCCGGAAGCGGTTTAGTCATGCTGGCCACAGGACCCGGAAAGCTGTCTGTGGACAAACGCCGGCTTCCTCGGCCTGAAAGTGAGATGAGTGCCACAACCCCACAGTCGTTCATGACTGGACTTAACTGTCAGGGGTCCTTTACCTTTATCTTTACCTTTACCTTTACCTTTACAATAGTTAATAGCTATAGAAACTGAGTTCTAAAATTTGGGGGAAATGCCCATTCTAATTATTATGCTCCAATAATTTGTTTACTCTTTATGGTGCCAAAATATTCATAATTAATATTAAGAATGCTTACCAAGGTCAGATATATAACAATATCTGACATACTCACATGGGAAGCGTGAAAGCACATCACTGTGCTCTTTGCAATACTGCTTTTTACCCACTGAGTGGCATCACATTCATGTCTAAGAAATGTAAATATAGTTCTGCCTGATTTCCTAAAGTGACGAAGTACAGGAAAGAGGAAGGAGTTAGTTTAGGATGGAGGTGGATAACTGGCAACCTAGGGCCCAGTCTGGATGGCAAATAAATTATATCTGGTCTTTGCTAATCCTACCAAAGTTGATTCAAGCTACTGTAAACAGTTTGTTCACAATTTTACTCATAAGGAAAATAACTATGGAAAATATCTGTTTCCTAGAACATAAACCTGCAGACATACACTGCTGCAAATAGTATATTTTTTTGGCTTCCACAGTAATGGGATTTGTATTCTGATAATTCACGGGGGGGGGGAGAGGTTGTTTGTGCATTTGAAATATTAATATGGGTCCATATTAATAACAACCTTTCCCTTTCCTAATCCATCCAACACACTCTCATAAAAGTTGAGGCACTCTTCAGATGTCTATCCACCCTTCTCAAGATACTCAAGTCACATAACACTTAACTAAATTAACAAATATGTAAAAAGAATGGAATGGACAGGAGGAAGAACTGAAGAAAGGAAGGAGGTTTTTTTGTCTGAGATTCCAGCTGCCTCAAGTAATCAGAGATGTTCCTGCACACTCTTTCAGTCCCCAAGAAGGTTGAAAAAGCCTTACAAAGATGTCTTCAAACTTATCCAGATTCTCCTTTTTCATAAATGTGACTTTCTCCTTAGCTGCAGTCTTTTAGAAGTAAATCTGCTGTTCATCCCAGCTGTTTCTAGGTGTTGCTTTCTTCTTGGACACAGATTTGTGAAACTGATTGTGGAAGTCATGCAAGCCAATTGCAAGCCAATTGCACTGGCATCCTGTACAACCGATGTAAGATTTTTCTGGCAGTCTCCTCAATATTAGGTGAAACTGTCTTCCCAAAGTAGCTAGACCACAGTTTGTCCCACGTTTTGTCTTCAGTTATACATGGGATCTTTTTTCCCATACTTTTTTCACAGCTAGAAGGGGGCCCATTTGGATTTTTAATTTTATAAAAGCTGAAAAAATCCCTTTCCCCCTTACACCTATCCAAAGTAGCAGAGTCGCAACTGACACATATGAGTTACTTGGGGCATATAGAAGGTGTCAGAGGTATGCACTGTTCGGTGAGCTCAATTTACTGCCCAGGGATCTGAGATGCAATTGGGACCAGTGCCTGACCCACAAAGAATAACTGGCCACAGGAATTCTTTTGGGTGGTTTCCATGCCCCCCCCCCCCGTTTCATATTTAGAAAACACATCTGAATTGTTATTTGCTGATATGAATATTCACAGTTACATTCTTTGATGAGCTTGCTTCCTGTTTCGGCTACAACTCATCAAACTTCTCATTACTTTTGGTCCATATTAGCCAACATCCGTCTTGATTGTTCAGGCCCAAACATACCTTCTTTAGGGGCCTTTATGTTTCCTTGTAAACATTTCAGAAACGTTGGTTGTTGTTGTTTTTTAAAGGCAAAGCTGACATTGTCCCACAAGCTTAGCCCATCAGGAAGAATACACCCCTGTACAGTGGTGCCCCGCAAGACGAATGCCTCGCAAGACGGAAAACTCGCTAGACGAAAGGGTTTTCCGTTTTTTGAGCTGCTTCGCAAGACGAATTTCCCTATGGGCTTGCTTCGCAAGATGAAAACGTCTTGCAAGTTTGTTTCCTTTTTCGTAAAACCGTTAATACCCAGGGTGCATTGCTTGAAGAGATGCAGTTGCGACTTGACTTCGAGGAGCAACACATAGCACGCGGTGTGGTAGCCTTTTTTGAGGTTTTTGAGGACTTTGCTGATTTTTGAAGCTTTTCCAAAACTTCTTTTGCAGCCATTTGGTAAGTTAAACTTTTAAAACTTTTTTGGGGGGTTTTGGATTTTGGGTTGGGGTGTTTGGAATTCAAGGACTTGGTGTTGGGGAGAGGTTTGCAAGAATCTGGGAGCTTGTGTGGTTTTTTTCTGCATTTTTATGATTTTTGTGACCATTGGGGCACTCTGCTGTTTTTTAAAAAAAAAAATTCTGGGTTTGAATTTCTGTGTGGTGGGTGGCTGGGGGAACAGTTGAGGAGGGGTTTGCAAGAATCTGGAAGCGTGTGTGTGTGTTTTGAATTTTTATGATTTTCTGTGACCATTGGGCCATGTTGTTGTTTTTTCCCAAAAAAATTTATGAGTTTGAATTTCTGTGTGGTGGGTGGGTGGGGAACAGTTGGGGAGGGGTTTGCAAGAATCTGGGAGCTTGTGTGGGTTTTTTTTTTGAATTTTTATGATTTTCTGTAACCATTGGGCCATGTTGTTTTTTTAAAAAGAAAATTCTGAGTTTGAATTTCTGTGTGGTGGGTGGCTGGGGGAACAGTTGGGGAGGGGTTTGCAACAGTTGGGGAGGGGTTTGCAATTTCTGTGTGGTGGATGGGTGGCTGGGGGAACAGTTGAGGTTTTTGAAGACTTTGGTGATTTTTAAAGCTTTTCCAAAACTTCTTTTGCAGCCATTTGAGGATTTTGAAGACTTTGGTGATTTGCAGCCATTTCGTAAGTTAAACTTTTAAAACTTTTTTGGGGGGTTTTGGATTTTGGGTTGGGTGTTTGGAATTCAAGGACTTGGTTCTGGGTTTGAATTCCTGTGTGGTGAGTGGGTGGGTGCTTTTGAATTTTTTGGGTGTGAAGCACTGATTTATTTTTTTCCCTGAGTTTACGAAGCTAGGAGCTGTGCTGCCATGGGACCCAAGAAGACTGCTGCTGCAGAGGCCGGCGAGAGGAAGAAGGAGAAGGTGACGCTGGAAATGAAGAAGGAGATCATCCGGAAGCACGACGGTGGAATGCGTGTGACAGACCTCGCCAGGGAGTACGGCAGGAACCCATCGACCATCGGCACCATCCTGAAGATGAGGGAGAAGATCCTTGCGACTGATGCAGCCAAGGGAGTCACCAGGATCGTGAAGAACCGCCCAGCTGTTCTGGAGGAGGTCGAGAAGTTGCTGCTCATCTGGTTAGAAAAGAAGCAGCGTGCAGGGGACACAGTGACTGAGGCCGTCATTTGTGAGAAGGCCAAGGCCTTGCACGCAGACCTCGTCCGGGAACAGCCAGGAACCTCAGGCGAGCCAGAAGTCTTCAAGGCAAGCAGAGGCTGGTTTGACCGGTTCAAGACAAGATCTGGAATCCACAGCGTGGTCAGGCATGGAGAGGCTGCCAGTTCTGAAGTTCCTGCGGCTGAAGAACTGAGGGACATTTGCCAGAAGTGGAAAGATGTGCAGGCTTTTGCACAGCGGCACTACCCTGACAAGGACCTGACACGTGACCTTGTGAACACTTTTGATATGAGGGTCATGTCGCCTTTCAGGGAGGTGCTGAAAAGGCGGATGAAGCAGCAGACCATGGACAGGTTCTTCAGCAAGAAGCAAAGAGTGGAAGAGGAACCTTCTTCGAGTTGTCTCCCAGAGTCTTAGAAAATGTACTGTACACTTTGTTGATTTTTAAATGTTTTTCTGTCATGTTTAGAAACTTAATTTATTGTTCCTTCAATTTTTGAAATGCTCTTTACAGTATGTGTGACTTTAAAGAGCACTTAATAAACTCTTGTTCTACCAAATTTGGCTTTGTTTGGACTTTTTTTGACCATAGGAACGCATTAATTGGATTTCAATGCATTCCTATGGGATTTCGTGCTTCGCAAGACGAAAAATTCGCTAGACGAAAAAACTCGCGGAACGAATTAATTTCGTCTTGCGAGGCACCACTGTACCAAGTTTGGATTGGGTCAGATTAGGGTGTCCCATTTTACAATCGATACATATTTAAAGCAATTATTATGGTCAAGCCGGCTCAATGGGAACCTGGTTTCTGATAGAAAGACTGTCAGTAGCATGACAATAGAGGAGGGATGGTGAGGAGCCAAGGTCAGTAAAAGCTGGGCAGAACAGATATGAAAAGGCACAAAGGCAGTTCTGTAGCAAAGGCAATGGAATTGCAAGCAGCCAGTCCAGGAATGAGAGCTGAACCGATTTGCAGAAGTGCATCTATGGCGTGTTTGTTCTTTGTATAGTACTTACAGTCATCTACTTATGGGTATGGGTATGTATGTGCGTGTTTTTAATAACAAAAGACACAGTGGAAGAGCACAGACTTGCAGTCTAAAGAAGGGGAAAAGAGGATTGGAGAGAAATGGATTGTGGAGGAAGTGTAGCTTTGTTTTCAAACAAATTGTTAAAGAGAAAAGATCAAAAGGAGATTTCCAATGGTACAGAGGGACAAGCCAGTTAGGAAGCACATCACAGCCTTTCGAGAGCTGTTGCTTGACAGCAGATTGCAAGGTTCTGCACCATTCCCTCTGGTGATAGTTAAAAGAGATTTCTGTTGGTGGATCCCAAAGCCCTAGATTGTAGGCACATGAGTGGGGTGTTCCCTCCTTATATACAAACGTATAAATAAATAACTCTTATTAATGTAGTGCACATCCAATCGACTAACCTGCCCTGTAGCTCGTAAATCATCATCTATCCCCTATCATTTATGTAAAAGGTAAAGGTAAATGACCCCTGAAGTCCAGTCAAAGGTGACTATGGGGTTGTGACACTCATCTCACTTTCAGGCTGAGGGAGCCGGCGTTTGTCCACAGACAGCTTTCTGGGTCATGTGGCCAGCATGACTAAACCGCTTCTGGCACAACAGAACACCGTGATGGAAACCAGAGCGCACGGAAACGCCGTTTACCTTCCTGCCACAGCAGTACCTATTTATCTACTTGCACTGGCATGCTTTTGAACTGCTAGGTTGGCAGGAGCAGGGACCGAGCAACGGGCACTCACCCCGTCGCGGGGATTCAAATGGCCAACCTTCTGATCGGCAAGCCCAAGATGCTCAGTGGTTTAGACCACAACGCCACCCGCTCCCTTCATCATCTATGTAACAACCTTTGTCTCTTACATTTGCTCTAAACACCTGTTTCTTATTAAGGGTATGCAGTCTGACTGTTCATCTAGAACTCCCAATTCCATTTTCTCTCCCTTTCTCGGGGTTACCTGTAGAGAGATTCATCAAATGGCCATGTAGCTGCAAAGGGAGGAAAGCTGAAGTTCGCCTTTTCATTTGAAATAACTGGTCACACTTTTGGCTGCCGGCCTGTAATTTGTGGGATACATTCAATGCTGCCGTCGTGTTCATGCAACAGACTTCTGCTTGTGCAATGGAACCCTTCTCTCCAGCAGCCCCCCCACCCATGCACACCCTAAAAGGGGTGGGGGGTTAAGAAGAAGAAGAAGAAGTCCCATTGCACAAGTGTAGTGCACTCACTTCTTCTTCATTGGCAATCACTCATAGCCGAGTAAGATTGTCTTCCATAAAAGTGAGGCCATAAGTGACTGTGGAGGCCAGTTCTGGATCCACACATCCTTCCACATTGGGGACATAGGTTTCCAGGCAGGAGTTGATCACGGTGAGGGTTTGCCAAGCGTGCCTTCTTCTTAGCACATTTCTCCCTTTCGTCCTGAGTTTGAGCGTCTTCAAAGCCCATGACACCTTTGGTAAAGGCTGTTCTCCAATTGGAGCGCTCACAGGCCAGTGTTTTCCAATTGTCAGTGTTCATACTACATTTTTAAAGATTTGCCTTGAGATGGTCTTTGAACTTCTTTTGTTGACCACCAGCATTATGCTTACCATTCTCAAGTTCGGAGTAGAGTAGTTGCTTTGGAAGATGATAATCAGGCATCCACACAACATGACCACTCACACACAGCGATTGATACAACCCAATGTGTGTATTTTACAGTCCCAGGCGCATGAGGATGCCACATTGCAGAACCTAAGCAGGTCTGGTCCTTTTCCAGGTGAGTGACTACCTGGGAACCACAGGTAAGTCACTTTGGGTTACATGCTGAAAGAAGGCACCATATTAAGAAAATAAGCAGTCACAAGTTGGTCCCATTTTTCCAATGAATGGTGTTGGATACATGCTTAAGGAAGTATAACATGCTGTCTGCTGCAGAAGCAGCTATTGGATGTGCAATGCTGTGCACAGTGGCAAGGAATAGACTTTTTCTATTATTGTTTAAAGTAAGAAAAAGAACTTGCAACAGGAAACAAACACTGTGCCCCACACCGCGAACTGATGGTTCCACCTTTCCTACCCAATTTAACAGCAGCCTGCTTGGACCACTCTAAATTCTCAAGAGCTTCGCAGGCTTCCCAGAGTGAGCTTTGTCTTCCGAGACAGAAGATGTTTTATTGTTAACTGACTCGCAGGCGCATTGTCCTCCATTGTTGCTGCTGCTGCCACCGTCGTCCCACCAGCCCCTGCGTGGGGCACCCTCCCTGGATCCCATTACCTTGTTTGGGATCATGAAGTACAAATTAGCATAATCAGATTAGCTGCATGGTGCTGTACGTCTGAAAAGGACGAGGGGAAGGGGGTGGAAATGACAAAGGGAGAAAGTATTTCGACAAAGGGAAGCCCTGAGGAGGGCAGAAAGGGTTTATTGGTGTTAGGCAGCGGAGCTGAAGGCTTTGCACCTGCAATGCGAACAAGTCCTCTTCTAACTAAGGACTCTTAGATGGTATTAAAACACGGGTGGGAGGGAGGGTGGGCAAGGCAGAGAAAGAAAGGCACACTGAATGAAAGAGGGATGGAATGAATCAGCCTGCATCCCATTAATTGATTTATCGGGATAGGGAATGTGCAAATTGCTGACAGTGGTAAAACAGGCCGTTTGATTTCTACTCAGCATGGAGAGGAGATCAGCCAAGTAATCTGGTCTATCGAGATAAGAGTTTTAGAGCCTCTGCAGGAGTGTGATAAGAAATGCCAAAACCACATTGGTGGTTATAGTTGTGTTTGGGGCTTTGCTTTTTCCCTTCCTCTTTCAAATCCTGCTGGAATTCTTCGTTGTTATTATTATTTATTCCGTTTCCAAATATGTAGTCTCTCCCTCCCCTCCCCGGTCCTTCTTTCTTTTGTGAATTTAAAATACAAAAACAAGATGGAAAGGAGGAGGACAAATCTGCAGGGTGACACAGTCGGCCTCAAGCAGGAAACCTAAAGGTACCATGAAAAAAGGCAGCAAATTCCCAATAATTTGATATATTTATAGTTTTTCCAGAATGCTTCATTTTGTTTTTCAGCCTTAGGCCCCAAAGTGAAGTGGCTTGCCTCTAAAGAAGATCACTAGTTAGATGGTGGCTTGGAAGGACTACTCATAAAATAAAATAAAATAAAATAAAATAATAAAATAAAATAAAATAAAATAAAATAAAATAAAATAAAATAAAATGTAAAATGACTGCCTTGGATTCAAATCCTTATAAGAAAACATTTGCTGGGGGACTGTATATTTAAGGCCTTTGTTTAATTTGCTGCTGAGATTTACCAGCGTTAGCTACTGCAAAGCTGATTTGCATGACTAGCAGTGGGGTTTGTTGCTAATTAATCCCATCCTCTTGTTCCGTTACAGAGTGGGAGAGGGAGGGAAGGAGCTCTCACAAGCCTTAGTGCTGAAATTCCTCACCAAGATTACCAGCACTGTCCAACTGGGACAAGGTGCTGTTGTCATGTTGATTCTACAGAACGATGCACACAATATGTTAAGACCAGCCCTCTGTGAGGAAAAGCTCGGGTCGCTTAAACATTTTCTGCCAAGCTTTTGCAAGATCCTTTATTGGCTAGTCTGACAGCTCAACCTATTTCTGTATGAAAAGCCAGTTTGCTTACTGGGCATGGAAAACTGCAGAGGTAATGAAGAAGAACTCCAGATTTGTTGCAATATGATGAAGTAGGCTAATCATGTGGACTGGGGAGAGGGGCAAGACTAGCACCAGAGTTTGGTATGGGTGGGGAGTTGCTGAAGCCCCAATCTGTTATAGGTCCTTCTTGCCAAAAGCCTGTCTTTGGAAATTAGGTTGTTGACAGATGCAAATAAAGATGGAAGGCCTTACGATGAATAGGCATGCATCATAAATTCATCACAAATAATAATAACCACACAGACTGAAATATTATAAACATTTGGTGCAATCCTTGGCCTCTCCAATCAGGGCTAGGAAAGATTCTACTTGGAAACCCCAGAGAGCTGCTGAAGTAAACAATACTGAGCTAGATCAGGGTTTCCCAAACTTGGGTCTCCAGCTATTTTTGGACCACAGTCCCCATCATCCCTGACCACGACCAGGGATGGTTAGCTGGCCATCCCTGCTAGCTAGGGATGATGGGAGTTGTAGTCCAACAACAGCTGGAGACCCAAGTTTGGGAAACCCTGAGCTAGATGAACCAATGGTCCTGTCTGACATCTTGGAGGGCCACTGCCAGTCCATGTAGGCAATATGCTGGTCTGATTCATTATAAGGAAGCTTCCTATGTTCCACTGTACTGTAGACTGCCCGATGCTGATGGACTACAACTCCCATAATTCTCGACCGTTGACCATGCTGTCTGGGGCT